AAAAATAACTCCTTCGTGTTTATCAAAGGCGTAAAAAGTCCGTCACCCTTCTGTTGTCGCCGCTGAAAGAATCTGGTCAAGCTGGGAAGCAGAGAAAGATCTCCCGGGCCATCCGAACAGTTTCCTCCTTTATTCAGGGAGCAAAGTGTCTTCGTGGTTCTGCTCAACGACCGACTCGCCCTGCAGAGGGAGCCACGGACGCCCACCCCGTCATGTCACGGCCCTTCCCGGCTCCCGAGCCGGCGTCTGGTTACTGACACGCCCGGCAGCCGCGGGACCTGGGCCAGGGCCACAATCGGTGGGTCTGCGCCCGATGCCAGAGCCCTCCTTCCTCTGACGTTAGAAACCACCCGAGAAACCCTAGAGTGTCCGAGCTACAAAACAGATACATGTAGTTATTTTCGTTTCAAAGACATATATTCCCAGTCCCCGCGTTCCCGGAGGCGGCGCCCGGCAGGTGCGGGGGAGGCCGGGCCTCACCTGGAGGCGCCCAGGTGCACCAGCGCCAGGACGGTGGTGTAGCTGTGGAACAGGTCCTCGGCCCGCACCTCGCTGCAGCGCCGCAGCACGAAGTTGCCCGTGACGATGCGGTCGCAGCCGATCTCGCCGTTGCCGAAGAAGCCGAACAGGGGCACGCCGGGGAAGGCCTTCCGGAACGCGTCGGCCTCCACGTTGCCCCGGGCCCGGTAGAACTGGGCGCCGCGGCCCACGCAGGCGAACATGAAGCCCACCGTGTCCCGCTCGGGGATGCCGGCGGCCTTGAGGCGCTGCATGGCGGCCTCCACGGCCTTCTCGTCGCTGACGTCCTCGCTCAGCAGCACCGAGGCGCTCTGCACGCGCTGGCCGCTCACCGACAGCCCGACCACGCCGGTGCCATCGACGTCCAGGGGGCACCTGGGGACGCAAGCAGAACGGGCCGCTGAGCACGAGACGACACGGAACGTGCCACGTGCTCGCAGGAAAGATCAGCCCGGCCCACGTGGCTCCGTGGTCGAGCGCCCACCTATGAACCGGGAGGTCACGGCTCGATCCCCAGTGTGGGGCGTGCAGGAGGCAGCCAGTCAGTGATTCTCTCTCATCATTGATGTTTCCATCTCTCCCTCCCTCTCCCTTCCTCTCTGAAATCAATAAAAATATATTTTTAAAAAATAGTATATATATATATATATTTTTTTAAACAAATACAAAAGGGCAAATGTACCTCCACCAAGATTCCTGAACCACTCCGGAGTGTGTAGGAGGGGACCCTGACCTTTCTCGCTGCCTTAACAGTCATCTTGCCCTTCTATGCCTGCACACAGTGACATCTCCTAAGTGCAGCTTTTTGGTATTATTTACATCTTTGGTGTCTTTTCCCCCCGAATATTCAGCTATAAATATTCAATCATGGAGGGCGTTTCTAGCTTTATTTTTTTTTTTTAATATATATTTTTTATTGGTTTCAGAGAGGAAAGGAGAGGGAGAGAGAGAGAGAGAAACATCCATGATGAGAGAGAATCATGGATCGGCTGCCTCCTGCACGCACCACATTGAGGATCGAGCCCACAACCTGGGCCTGTGCCCTTGACCGGGAATCAAACCCGGGACCTTTCAGTCCGCAGGCCGGCTGATGCTCTATCCACTGAGCCACACCGGTTAGGGCCATTTTTAGCTTTATGTTGCTCGGTCCATAAAGTTTCTGGAACCTCTCCCTTCCTTGCTGTTTGTTTTTTTTTCCCAAGAGGACCCCTGCTGTCTGCTGTGTTGTGTTCATACAGCGTGTCTGACAATAAAGCCGGAGGAAAACATAAAATAAAAAACAAACCAAAAAGACCCGCGGTAACAAAACCCCTGGAACGCGACGGGGAAAGTGGCGGCGCCGGACGTACGTGTCAGAGGTCAGCGACACCAGGTTGTCCACCTGGCCCCCGGCCACCACGACGTTGGTGTCGCCGAAGGCGCGGACCACGCGCTGCAGGTAGCTGCTGGCGCCCACCTTGCAGCAGTTGTAGCCGAACACCAGCACCACGCGGAGCTCCGGGTTGTCCAGGAGGCCTGCGGGGAGGAAGGCACGTGAGGGACGCCTGCAGACGGGACGGCACCGTCACTCTAGGGAAACTCCCTTTTCCTCGCTTTGAGTGACATGCTCTCCGAGTTACTAGTATATACAAGTCCCCCGACTGTTATAAACTGTAACATGACTCAACATCTGGGCAACAATTCTCCCATTAAAAAACCTAAGACCCGCCCTAACCGGTGTGGCTCAGGGGATAGAGCGTCGGCCCATGGACGGAAGGGTCCCAGGTTCGATTCCCGGTCAGGGGCACAGGCCCGGGTTGCGGGCTCGATCCCCAGTGGGGGGCGTGCAGGAGGCAGCCGATCCATGATTCTCATCATTGACGTTTCTCCCTCTCCCTTCCTCTCTGACATCAATAAAAATATATTTAAAAATAAAACAAAAACTAAATGGCGGAAGAGACGGGGGACAGAGAAACATCGACGTGAGAGAGATGCATCGATTGGTTGCCTCCCAAACGCCTCGTCACAACCAGGGCTGGCGATCGAGTCTGCAACCGAGGTAGGTGCCCTTGACCGGAATCGAACCCGAGATCCTTTAGTCCTGAGGCCGAGGCTCTATCCATCGAGCCACACCGGCCTGGGCTCCTTTCCTCTTCTGATTAGCAAACCATTCACAGATGTTCCCCTTGGCGGCTGCACAATCTTTTACCCCCACGGGGTTCAGAGCCATTTCCAATAACAGAGGCTCATCTCCACGGGCGGCTGGCACGCACACAGCCGGGGTCACCATTGAATAGTTTCTATGCCAACAAGATTTTTTTTAACCAGTTAGTGCCGATCGATCGATTCATTTGCAGATGTAGATAAAAGGCCTCACTTCGCTGAGTAGCTAGCGTGTCGCTTCATACGCTGTCGCATGAGAGCTGAGACCCTAAGCCGTTCTCTAACGCCTCTCGGTGGTCTCTCGGGACCGCCTGCTTCGGCCACGCGTCCTCTGCCTGATGCGTCCTCGCTCGACAGTCTGCCTGAACTCACACTTTTTCCTTCTTTTCTAAACATATTTTTATTGATTTCAGACAGGAAGGGAGAGGGAGAGAGAGAAACATCCACGATGAGAGAGAATCACGGACCGGCTGCCTCCTGCACGCCCCACACTGGAGATCAAGCCCACAACCCGGGCATGTGCCCTGACTGGGAATGGAACCGTGACCTCCTGGTTCCTAGGTCGACGCTCAACCCCTGAGCCACGCTGGCCGGGCTGAACTCACTTTTTCTAAAACTCAGAATGCACCGCACCAGCCTCGTTCATGGCTAGTCCGACTCGCCCACACCTCCGGGGCCTGCGCTTCATTCGGACCCTCAGAATCCACCACCGAGACGGGGAACGGACCGTCATGACAGCGACTTACCAGCCTCAGTGAAGCGACGTCGTTCTAGCGATAAATTCTTTGGATTCTTGACAAAACGAAAGGGTTGTATTTTTATTCCTTCCACCTGAGGGAACAGCAGGGCAAACCCAGACTCTCCGATCTCTATCTCCTGAGGCCGGCTGCTCCCGGGGCCCATGGGCGTCACTAGGAGAAAAGGGAAGCAGCTTCGTCCAGAGTCAGTAAAAACGGGGGATTCGTTCCGTCACCGCGCACGTGGCCAGCCCCACCCGATCACCAGCCAGCAGGCTCACAGGCCACGACCCGAGAGCGTGTTCAGCTCTGACATTCTTAGGGGTACAGAGTCGTGATGTCTGCGATTCCCTTGCAAATAAAAGCCTAATATGGTAAGTGTCCGACCATTTGTTCGACCACTTGCTATGACACGCACTGACCACCAGGGGGCAGACGCTCCAACCGGTAGGTTAGCTTGCTGCTGGGGTCCAGTCAATTGGGACTGGGCGAGATGGGCCGGACACGCCCTGGAGCCCTCCCGCGGTCCCTTCCCAGCCTCTAAAATATCTCTTCTAATTAATTTCCTATCAATGTGCACGAATCGTGCACCGGGCCTCTAGTGTGTTCATAAGCAGAGACAGAACGAGCTAGTGTTGCAACATTCCTTTAGATGGTGAATCTAGATGGACAGTGTGGGGGTGTGTATTGTACTATGATTCTTCCAACTTTTCTATAGGATTGAAGTTTTTCTAAATAAAAAGTTGTGCCTGGGGTGGAGAGGAATGAATACTTCTTCACAGCAATTCCACTTTAAAAAAATGTATCCTGGGCTAAAATATTTGACCATTACGTAAAGTACACACTCACACTCACAGAAATACTTCTATCAGGGAGTTTGTAGTAACAAATAAGAAAGAAAAACTGAAATGCTCTACACTGGCATTAAGATTAAAAGTTACGTTATATATTAAAGATGGTTTTTCTTGAAATATTTTTTAAAAGAAGTTACATTATATAATGAAATGTAGCCATTAAGAATGACAGACATCCTAACTGACACGGAAATATGTTTGTAATACGTTGCGAATTTTAAAGGTGGGGGTTAGGGACAAAATTGTATCTCCCCCAAAATTCATATGAAGTCCTAACCTCCACTGGGACTGTCTATGGAGAGAAGGCCTTAAAGAGGAAAGTAAGGTTACAGGAGATCCTAAGGGTGAGGCCCTAATTAAAAACAGGACCAGTGCCCGGCCAGCGTGGCTCAGTGGTTGAGCGTCGACCTATGAACCAGGAGTTCACAGTTCGATTCCCGGTCAGGGCACATGCCCGGGTTGTGGGCTCAATCCCCAGTGTGGGGCGTGCAGGAGGCAGCCGATCCATAATTCCCTCTCATCATTGATGTTTGTCTCTCTCTCTCTTCCTCTCTGAAATCAATGAAAACATAGCTTAAAAAAAAGAAGAAAGAGCCCTGGCCGGTTTGGCTCAGTGGATAGATCATTGGCCTCAGGACTAAAGGGTCCTGGGTTCGATTCTGGTCAAGGGTACATGCCCAGGTTGCGGGCTCGATCCCCAGTGGGGGGCGTGCAGGAGGCAGCCGATCCATGATTCCCTTTCATCATTGATGTTTCTCTCACCCCCTCTCCCTTCCTCTCTGAAATCAATAAAAATATATTTTAAAAAAAGCAGACAGACATGAGTGCAGCTGGTTTGTACACACAGCCCTGAGAGGTGCCAATGAGCCACCTTCTATGTATCTTGGGCTTTAAGCTACAAGGCGCCCCCCCCCCCCCAGGCCAGGACCCGCAGGAATGCGAGGGGGAGGCCGCCAGGGGGCACCCCTCTCACCGACAATCCCCGGGGCCACGACCCCCAGGACCTGGCACTGTCTCGGGAACAGCTTCTCCAGGGCCACGGCCGTCTCCGTCGTCGCTCTCTTCCTGGCTGCACAACAAGGAGCACAAGGAGCAAAGGTCACCGCTGACGGCGCCGAGGGAGAGAAAGGCCGACACCGAATAGAGCCGAAGCCATTTCACACCAGAACGCGGTGGAAGGAAGTCTCACAGCGCTGATAAAGCCCGGCCGGCGTGGCTCCGTGGCTGAGCGCCGACCGAGGAACCAGGAGGTCCCGGTGCGATTCCCGGTCACGGCACAGGCCCGGGGTTGTGGGCTCCATCCCCAGTGGGGGGCGTGCAGGAGGCAGCCGATCTGTGACTCTCATCATTGATGTTTCTATGTCTCCCTCTCCCTTCCTCTCTGAAATCAATAAAAAGCCCTAGCTGGTATGGCTCAGTGGATAGAGCATCAGCCTGCAGACTGAAGGGTCCCAGGTTCGATTCCAGTCAAGGAACATGCCTGGGTTGCAGGCTCGATCCCTAGTGGGGGGCATGCAGGAGGCAGCCGGTCAATGATTCTCTGTCATCATTGATGTTTCTGTCTCTCTCTCTCCCTCCCTCTCCTTTCCTCTCTGAAATCAATAAATATATTTTTAAAATATATATATATATATATATATATATATATATTTAAAAAAAAACAATTAAAATGCTGATGAAAACACACGTGTTTCTGGGTGGGGCCTGTTTTATATTCTAACCCCAAACTGACCTTGAGCATCACCAGTTTGCCCACATACAGCTTTTGCTCCAAAGACATTAAACTTTGCAGCAGCAGCAGCTGGATTGTAGACGTGCTACTGTACCTTTCTGCTCAGCACAGACGCTGCACACACAGGCCCCTGCATTCCAAGGGCAGGTAATCCACAGCCCAGGCTAACGGGGTCTCAGGGTGCCCCTCCTGGGACACAGGCTACTGCCTCTCGCTGCGAGCGAAGGTCGCACTGTGTCTATCCGTACCTTTGGTAAATGGCTCCCCAACATCTAACACCATGAAAGGCTTGAATCATAAAATCTCCCTCCATAAAATCAACAAACAACAAGTGCTGGCGAGGATGTGGAGAAAAAGGAACCCTTCTGCACTGCTGGTGGGAATGCAGACTGGTGCAGCCACTGTGGAGAACAGTATGGAGTTTCCTCTAATGGTTAAAAATGGAACTCCCGTTGGACCCAGTGATGCCACTTCTAGGAATATATCCCAAGAAACCAGAAACACCCATCAGAAAGGATATATGCACCCCTATGTTCATAGCAGCACAATTCACCATAGCTAAGATCTGGAAACAGCCTAAGTGCCCATCAGCAGACGAGTGGATTAGAAAACTGTGGTCCATCTACACCATGGAATACTACGCTGCTGTAAAAAAGAAGGAATTCTTACCATTTGCAACAGCATGGATGGAACTGGAGAGCATTACGCTAAGCGAAATAAGCCAGTCAGAGAAAGATAAATATCACATGATCTCACTCATATGTGGGATATAATGATCAACATAATTTGATGAACAAGAATAGATCCAGAGACAAATGGTATGGGGGGTGGGGGGTTAGAGAGCAACCAAAGGACTTGTATGCATGCATATGAGCAGAACCAATGGACACAGACACTGGGGCGGTGGGGGCTTGCCCGGGGTGGGAATGGGTGGATGGGGGGAGGTCAATTGGGGGAAAAGGAGACATATGTAAAACTTTAGACAATAAAAAAAATAAATGAAAAAAAATGGGTAAAGGATCTGAATAGACATTTTTCCAAAGAGGACATACATATGGCCAATAGACATATGAAAAAATGCTCAACCTCACTAATCACCAGAGAGATGCAAATTAAAACTACAATGAGGTGTCACCTCACACCTGCCAGAATGGCTACCATCAATAAATCAACAAGTGCTGGAGAGGATGTGGAGAAAAAGGTACCCTAGTACACTGTTGGTGGGAATGCAGACTGGTACAGCCACTGTGGAAAACAGTATGGAGTTTCCTCAAAATATTAAAAATGGAACTGCCTTTTGATGCAGCAATTCCACTTCTTGGAATATACCTTAAGAATCTTGAAACATCAATTCAAAAGAATATATGCACCCCTCTGTTCACAGCAATGTTATT